CTCTGCAGTGAGGCACGAAGGAGCATAATATTGGTCTGCATGGACATTAGCACAAAGTGAGCGTTTGTAGTGGGCTTGAAGCGAAAAGAATATAATTTCTCTGAAAATATAAAATCTAAGTAAAACAGCAAATTGGCTCTCAAACCTTTGTTTTTATTAAAAATTTCTTTAGAGTTTGACATCAGACTTTTACTGGACAGGATCAGGGCCACTGGGGAAAAAAAGTTAACTGGTTTTTATATTTTATTTAGGTTTAATAAAAAAAAGTAAGAATACCATATTAAACTAAAATAAAATAAAAAATTTTATTATTTTTTTCCAGTGGCTCTAATCACCTTTCATAGGATTGCATTTTTCTCCTCACATTTAAAATTTTACCATCTCTATACAGATTTCCTTTTCAAAGTTCCAGCATATTTTCATGTCTGTATATAATACTGTATATTATTATCTCTGTATTTCTTTTAAAAATAAAATGTGTATATCTCTCTCCAAGGGAAAACTATAGCTCTCCCTTTGTGCTTTTAAAAGATAATAACTGTTTAATTATAAATCTACTGTCAAAGAAAAGATCATCTAAAAGGAGCATTTAATCATGACATGAATTTAATGACAATGAAAATCTACCCTTTGCTTTTTTCAGGAGTTAAAGTAAAAAACAAAATGTATTCCTGCTACTTGGAGAATTATTGTTTAGACCAAATTTGCACCATTGGATTCTCATTAGGAAATAAAATTAAATCCAGATATCCTAAACTGAGTTGTTAAGAGATTTCACCACCTACACTTTAGGTTACTTGATATTTAATAACAGTAAATTTCAGACTAACATTTCAACAAAGATCGAAGTAACTATTTAAACTTTCCTGTACCTATTGGGGCAGAGCTGCTGATGCTGCTGGGAGGCCGGAAAATTCCTGAGTTCAGCTCTTTCTGTCTCTGACCTGAGGAAAGCAGAACATCCATAAATACCACCTTTATGAAGGTTCTGCCCAGGCAGTGTTAAACCTTTGGGTGTTTCTTTCTAGGGTTTACTAACGTCTTGGCAGACGGGGTCCATCCACAGTAATCTTGATTGCTCTGTGTACTGTGGCTATTTGAGGAGGTGAGGTCAACACATTGATTGATAGGGTGAAGGTCTTCCCTGAAAGGAAAAAAAAACATAGATGGAAAGAAAATGATCATAGGCAACGAGGAGGAAAATTCACCAACATGTTTCTGTTTTGACACATTTTCCTTATTCAAGCTTTAAATTTTCCATCATGCTTATCCCTGCTGGGGTCGCGAGGGGTGCTGGTGCCTATCTCAGCTGTCTACAGGCGAGAGGCGGGGTACAGTCTGGATCGCCAGTACATTACAGGGCAACACAGAGACAAACAGGACAAACAACCATTCACGCACCTCACACCTCAGGAGAATTTAGAGAAGCTAATTAACCAATTAGCCAATTAACCTAACCTTTTGGACTGTGGGAGGAAGCCGGAGTACCCTGAGAGAACCCACGAATGCTCAGGGAGAACATGCAAACTCCATGCAGAAAGACCCCGGGCGAATCAAACCTGGAACCTTCTTGCTGCAAGGCAGCAGTGCTACCCACTGCGACACTGAACAGCCCTATTTACAGGTAAATATCACTAAATGGTGGTAATTCAGTTTATTTCTATAGCACTAATTCACAACACGTCATCTCAAGGCACTTTACAGTTCACAAGATCATCTAGTCGATTGTTTCAAAGTTTTCTTTCTAAGGAAAACCTGCTGATTGCATTGACTCATTGACTCTAAGGCAATCCCTCACACTAAGCATGCTTGTAGAGACAGTGGAGAGGAAAACCTCCCTTTTAACAGGAAGAAATCTCCAGCAGAACCAGGCTCAGTGTGAGCGGCCATCTGCTGAGGGCTACTGGGGTTCAAGGAGACAGAAGCAGACAACGAAAAAGAAGCAGAGATACAAAAGGTAACTGTAAAAGGTGGCCCCATCCATTAAACACACAGCCGTTAAAGCAAATGGAGTACCTCTGCCACTGCGACCAATGAAGCGAAGATCGTTGAATTGGGCATAACCTTGCTTCATGGTTGTTGTGGCATTGCGTAGCTCAGCGCTGCAGTTGTCATCATTGCCCGCCATCACCGTCACAACCACCCCGTCTGGCACGTCGTTACCGACAGCAACCACCTGCAAGATGCAAAACACTTTTAACACCTTTACAGACATTTTACCATGGACTAAGACAGATACAGAGAGAATGGCTGACAGAGTGGTTGCTCACTGTGAAAGCTCTGGGCAGGGTCTTGTTACATCTCCAGTGCTGTGGCAGGATGCTGCAGAGGAAGTTGGGGCTGTCAGTGTGAACCAGGCCTCTTTGGGATGCTGTGCTGTGCTGCTGCAATGGAGCTCTCACATCCTGCTCATCCAGCTGGTGAAGTTTAGGGGATGGAGCCGGCCGACATTTACCCACGGTGTCTGAGAAAGGGGAACAGTTACAAGAGGCTTTATCTTTATGTTTTCCGTTCTTTCATGTAATTACATAGTAAAAATATTATATAATTTTGTTGATTTTTTTTATGAGAATGCTGTGTCTAATTTACTTCCGGCTATAAATTGCGTTTTGTGGTCTTCCAAATATGTTTTTCTAGGCTCTAGTGACCTTTATTTGTTACTTTTGAAAGTAACAAATAAGAGAGTGGGTTAGGAGAGAGGGGAGATACATTCAGCAAATGTCAGCAGGGCCGGGACTCGAACCTGTGACATTTTGTGGGTTTTTAAATCCTTGAAGGTATAATTCAATCAGCAGAGGCCAATTGGGGTTCAAGGTGACATAAGTGGAAAAGAGAAAAAAAAAAAGCAGAGATACAAAAGGCAACTGTCATCCAGCTCCACAAGCGGCCCCGTCCAGGAAACACACAGCCAGGCAGACAAGGATGAAAGAGAGCACATCCAGCCAGTCACAGTCAGAGAAACAGGACTGCACTGAAAAACAGGCCAAGATCCAAAATCTATAAATAAAGGTGTTGATGGCAGAAGCTCAGCTGATATTTCTCTCTAGGATGGAGTGACCGCCAAACAGGAGTCAGCCATGGTTTACATCTTAAATGGTTCAGGTAATTATTAATTTGTTTATTTAATTGCTACGTAAATTACATTGCAAGAGTAAATAAAAAAAATTTTTTAAGCTCTTGTCCAAACTCCATTTCAGCTGGTGGCAGTAATGCATTAGTTTGTCCGCCAACCACCATAAAACTCAAAGCAACAGGAAAACAGTGAAAAAGGTTGGCTGGTTGTTCATGAAGTAAATCAAAGTTTCCACATTTCCATGAATAAAAACTAGGCTTAATTAATTTACTGTACATCTGTTGATAAGTAATGCTACTACTATTTCCTAATCTGAATTTCTCCTTGACTTTACTTTGGCCGCACTGTGGCTCCACCTTTATTATACATCATACAAAATACTCAGGTTATCCTGAACTGTATTCTCCATTTGTGCTGCTTTAGACTTAGACTGCTGGAGGACAAAG